ACAGAATGTTGTGCAAGCTAGAAATTCACAAAAAGATTCCTATCGTTCGCAATAATGCCAAGCCAGAAATTCACAACATCTGAAATTGGGCAGAGTTTAAAAAAATAACGCCTTTGCTAGTACCTATGTGAGGGACAAATTAAAACTTCTTATTTTTTCATAATTTATCATATCTAATGGATGAAGTATGAGAAGAGACTTTTTAAAAAGGACACCGATTACGTAATTCTCTTTAATAAATTTTACTTTCTTTGGGCAGCAAAGAAGAAGACTGTGACTGTACTGTTGAACGGCGATAGGAAATTTTATTTTCAACCACAACTACTTTGCAAATTTCTTAATTAGCTTGGCACTATTGCAAACGATGGGAAGTACTTTCTTTTTTCTTTTTTTTTGAAAGCAAGTTTGTTCCAAACCTTGCGAATTTCATACTTGGTCGAACATTGGTTAGTTGCAATAGAGAGGAGTTTTTTTTGGTTGGGGGGAGGGGGGCGGGACAAAAAGCCTACTCGAATTGATTTAGCTTAGTTTTCTTTAATTACATGTCTAGTTTTGTCTAGTGTTTTTTTAACTTTTCAAATTCTGCTTTTAGCTATTTGGATTCAAAAACTACTTTTAGTATTGTTGAACGGGGATATGAATTTTTTTTTTTTCAATTGGAATTACTTTGCGAATTTCTTAATTAACTTGGTACTATTGCAAATGATGGGAACTGCTTTTTTTTTTTGAATGCCAGTTTGTTCAAAACTTTGCGAATTTCATACTTGGTCGAACATTGGTTAGTTGCAACAGAGAGAAGTTTTTTGTGTGGGGAGAAACGGCAAGCAAAAGAGACAAAAAGCCTACTCAAATCGATTTAGTTTAGTTTTCTTTAATTACATGTCTAGTTTTGTTAGTTTTCTTTAACTTTTCAAACTCTGCTTTTAGCTATTTAGATTCAAAAGCTACTCTTAGTATTGTTTGACAAATTTTTTAGAATAACTTTTAGTCCTTAGATGAGCGTTTTGGAGAAGCTGCTTTTTTAAAAGACACTGAAGCTGATGTTTTAATTTAATAGAACTTTCTAAATACCAACCAGGGGTGGAGTCAGCATTTGAAAATAGGGGGACTAAAGAAATAATTCAATTAGAGAATTTACTGGGAAAAACAAATTTCAAGCAGAGATGATGAAAACATGAAAAACAATACCACATCATACCAAACAATCCCTATGTCTTCTTCAATTTTCTAGTTCTAATTTGTTTGTAGACTTGTTTTCTGGGCTGGACCATTTATCATTTATGTTTTATTATAAATTGGGTAGCTTGGGCTGGGCTATAGTTAATAGGAAATAGTAATACAAATTTTTATTTTTTGGACCTTGCGCCCAGGTTAGTCCACAGGGAGCTCCGCCTCTGATACCAATAATACCCTTTTATGCGTATTCATATATACATTTGTTTGTGTATACAGAGTGTTTAAGAAAATGTCTCACTGTCTTTCACCACTCTTACGTACCCCCTCAGGGGCAGAGCCAGCATAGGCCCAGGGGGCCCATGCTGGCCCATTAGTTTTAATTACAAAATGGCCTATAATTTATAAAAGTTTTCAGAATGCCCCCTTGAAATAATTTTTTTTAAGAAAATGGTCATTAATTTTTATTACACATAGGCCAATAATTTGTAAAAAATTAAAAAATGCCCCCTGAAATAATTATTTACCCTTGGGCGAATTAATTTTTATTGCAAATAGGCCAATAATTTATAAAATTTTACAAAAATGCCCACTAAAATAATTATTTTTAAAAAATATCTTTAATTTTTCCATTCTTTTCATTCTTACTCCTCCTCCTCCTCCTCCTCCTCTTCTTCTTCTTCTTCTTCTTCTTCTTCTTCTTTATATTCTCTTTAAAAAAAAAGTTGCATTCCTTTATTCAAACTATTTTTTTTTTTTTTTTTTTTCTCTTCAAAGTTTGGTAATTAAATTTGTTGCCTTAAGGTTGGTATTTTTATGTTCCTATTTTCTTAAAATAATTATATTTCAAATTATTAAATGTTATTATTACGCCCCCCCTAAAACAAATTTCTGGCTCCGCCCCTGCGTACCCCCATACAATCACTAGAAATTTGAGAGAAATGAGCGGCATTGTTTTTTCAAGTTGTGTTTGTTTTTCAATTTTGGGTATGAATTACTAAGGAACACATCAGTTGTGAGATTTTACATAAAGATTTGTCCTAGAAGAATATATATATATGTATGTATACATGTATTGTAGTAGCAACTGATCTAATATGTATAACTTGAATTCTCTCACTGATAAAATATATGTTTAAACATAGGGTAAAGTGCAAATAAAACTCCTGAATTATTGGCTTTTTACAACTAACCCATTTGAACTTACGGATGTCGATTTTTACCACCCTGCCGGGGCCCCGCCCTGTCCCGCTCCGTTAATAACGGATATGAGAACACTTTTTATACCGTTGGGGCGGGCATGGATACAAATTTTGTACCCGTCGCGAGTCATGGGGCGGGTAAGGATTTAGTATACTTATCCTAGGGGCCCCGCCCCGCTAAGCATATAACTATATTTAATATATATATAAAATATTAATAACTTATTTTAGCGGCTTACCCGGTTACCCATCTCTTATAATCCGAATTTGGGATGTAAACTTGGTATTAAATTTGCTTTTGTTTTAGCTATGGTGGAAGTTGGAGCTTAGAACTTCTTGTGATTTGGTTGTATTAAACTTTTATTTTTGTTTATTATGTTCTCTAATTATGTTATGTGCAAGTTATTTTTTTTAATTTTTGTTGGGATACATAATTTCATTTATGTTGTGCCATTCTCAGGCTTTCCACATTTAAATAATAGGAGCTTAAGTTCCAAAAAGTGGGAGAAAAAAATTTGTTAGCGGGGCAGGCACGAGGGCACAGTATTTCCCAACGGGGTGGGGCTGGACATGAAAATCCAACTCGTCGCGGGTCTCGGGGCGGGCATGGACTAGATAAAAATTAAAAGGGACAGGGTGGGATTTAGTGAACCCCGCTCCAAACCCGCCCCGTTGCCATTCCTATCTGAACTAAAGATTGCCCCCACTAAACTATTGATTTGTTACAATTAAGGACAAACCATCACAAAAGACTATTTTACTCTTTGTTATTAAATTTGTCATTTCTTATTAAATTATTTTTTATTATATTTTCTCTTATTTAAATATTAATTATACCATTTACCTTAATTTTATAATTAGTATCAATTAATTATAAAAATGAAAAAAAATAAATTTGTAGCTATCATTTTCTAAAATGATTAACTTATTATAATAAAACTTATTATACTCACTTAAAAAAAAAAATTAGTATAAAAAAATATCTTCTTTTTCAAACAATATTCATGAAAATTTAATAAATTGCGTACATAAAAAATATCTTCTTTTTAATGCTATATATTCATGAAAATTAAGAAATTACTTAAATTATTTCATAATTTTATATTTAAGATTTTTATTTAAATAATTAATTAAAAAAATTAAAGGCAAACTCAATCAAATTTAATGGAGAATATTTCATCAAATTAGTATGAATTTTTTTCATAATTTATTTTAACAAGAAAAATATATCAAGTGTAGTTCAATAAGAAAATGTAATATGGTCATTTAATGAAAAATAGGTAAGACAATGGGGGTATTTTGCAACTAAATATGATAGTTTAAGAGGTTTTATATACAAAACATAGTTTAGGGGATTATTTACAAATTTAGACATAGTTAGGAGGGTTTTTTTTACACTTTACCCTCACACACACACACACGTAGCTTTTGCACTAACCAAATTTGCTAGATGAAATCTAATTCGTATGGGCATATATGCGTGGATCTCTTAACCATCTTGCCATCTACAAAGAGTTAATACTCGAGATTCTTTCACGTGCTAGATGACACACTGAGATGCCATCTTTTAATTTTTTTTAATGGAATTAAAAAGGAGAAGAATTATTACATTCCTTAAAACTCTACTCGAATCCATTAGACAACAATAACATACCGTGCTACTTTAGTAGCTTCGTAGATGGTACATTTTACTACTTGGACAATTTTACTTGGTGGTATATGGAAAGTTGTTATTTTTATATGACATTGTTTTTATATAAATTTTTCAGTTTTGTGGTGGATAATGATAGTTAAAATGAGAATTAGTCTTAGTAGTTCAATTGTAAGATGAAAAATGAGGACTATGTGTGAAGACAAATTATATATCCAGTTGGTTGTGACTTTAGATGAGAGTTACACGTAATAGAATTGTCACTTAATTAATCTTGAAAAATAATTTTCCAAAAAATAATTTTTCTAAGGGCAAAATAATTATTTTAATAGTAAAAGAACTTTTGCAAATGCTTTGCCAAACAAATAAAAAAATTCTTAAGGCATTAAAAGCTCTTCTAAAATACATAAATCAAATCGAATTGATATTTTTTGTTTTTCTTTCTCTTCGTCGGTAAAAAAAGAAGCAAAAGTTATAACAAATGAGGATAGGATTAAAAATGACATTTTTTATATACCATGATTTCTTTCTGGGAGACAAATGACAATGTTCCCATTCCAATTTTCTACGTTTGCACTCTAATATCAAAAGAAATGACAATTTTAACCCTAACTTTATAGGTAAATAATTACTATTATTTTTTAAATAACACAATTGCCTTTTGAGATTTACTCTCTTTAACTCTAATCTTTAATATTTTAGTTCTCTTTTAACAAAACAAAAAATATGAAGTTATTTATATTGAATAATTTTATTTATTTTTTAACTGGACCAAAAATAAAAAGTATCCAAAATAAAAATTATTTCTGTTGAATAAATTACGTCTTTTGACCGGACAAAAAAAAAAATACCCATTAAAAAATATATCTCTCTTGAATAAATTCTCTTTTGATGAGGAAGAAAAAACACACCAAAATTTTTTTTATTGGAAAAGTACAACCCCCCCCCCCCCCCCCCCGCGGCAAAAAAAAAATACAAACCTTCAAAAACAAAGAAAAAAAAAAAGATGAAAGTATAGAGCACGAAAAAAAAAAGCACACAGTAAAAAAAGTAAAGAATATCAAAAGAAAAATTATATTAAAATTAATTAGGACATTATAAAATAAACAATATGAAAAGAAAAATTATATTAAAATTAATTAGGACATTATAAAATAAAATTAATTAGCATCTTGTGATTTCACCACCCTTTCAATATTAGTACCGTAATAACTATATTTGGCTTACCGTGTAGGCTGCGTATAAATGATCACGCAAAAATTCTTTCCGACAAAAACGCAGAGAACCGTACAAACACCTCTCCCCGGAGAAGAGTGCCCAACGTCGATTTAGAGAGAGAAAGAGGGTAGAGAGAAACTTCAGACACGTCCCAGATCTAGGGTTTGTCACCCCTAAATTCGGTCGCCTGGTTCAAGGAAGATTGAGTTGTTCATCGTTCAATTTTGTTCTCAAATGTCGCCTTATAGATATGAGTTGTTAATTTTGCATTAGGGTTCTAAATTTCGAATGGAGGGTAGAGAAAAATAAGTGGAGGATTAGGAATTGGTTCGAGACCGTTGATCGAATGTCGTCAAAGCTTTCGCCGGTATCGTCTCCTCCTCCTTCTTGTTGTTCGGGTGGTGGTGGTGTTGGTCTCGGTGTCAATTATATTGAACACCAGGTTTCTAAGATGGATACACTCGCTGGCATTGCAATCAAATACGGTGTTGAGGTAAAGTCGATCATCAAGTCAGACGCATTTGCTTTTCTTATAATATATGGTTTGTTCTTGTTTTTATTTTCATTTGTTGTTGCAACACATTGTATTATTATTATTATTATTATTATTTTTTATGGGATAAGATATGCAACTTTGTGACTTTATACTAAAACACCATATTTCAAATGGTAATTTTTTTCATCTCCTCCTATGTCTGATTGCTGATGAATATTACAGTGGTTAAGAAAGAGGAGAGAAGGATAAGATTAGTAAGGGAAGAAAAAAGATATAACACTGGTAATTACACACATACATAAAAAAGGGCTAGCTGAGTGCTGGAAGCTCCCAGTGTTGCGGCTGGGTAGGGGAAGGGTCAAATGTACGCGGCATTACCTCCTAACTCCGCAAGGGAGGGGCTGTTTCTTATTTCAAACTCATGACCTTCAAGTCGAGCAAGCTTACTGTTGCCCTCACCTATATATGAATTTATATATTTTGGGTAATGGAGGGTGTTTTCATCCCTGACGACCTCTCCCTTTGGATATCTGCAATCAGTTTTATATCACGGGTATTGGATAAATTGAACTCGGCATCTTAACACACAAGAGACCACTCTACTTGGTGGGGGTTGAGTACTTCTTTTTGGATAAATGGTAAAGGAAAAGAAAGGATAGGTTGGTGGTAGTTTCCCCCACTTGGTTGGTAAATAGGGTAGAAATGGATAATCACTATCTATGCTGTTCTTTCCCTTCATTTTCTTCCACTTTTGAAGGAAAACAAACTAAGTGAGGGGTTAAGATCTCCTTCTTTTCCCTGATTCTACTTGCCTTTTTCATGTTTAAACCAAGAATGATATAGTGTTCCCTTTCCTTCTCCCTCTTAGTAGTTGACTTAACCAACTACTAAGAAAAGAGACTGTTTCCTTGAAAATTGAAAAATCATAATATATAAAATTCCAATTGTGTTGAGAGAAGAGAGAGAGAGAGTTTACTGTTGGATGAATCCTTCAGTTTAATTTATACTGCTAATTGTTATACCAAAATATGCTATAACTTTTCCACTCCATCTCTTAGTATGATTTGTTCATTTCAGTTATTAAACTTCTGCATTCTGTGTTTTGATTTATGAGTTTCCATGCGGTTTTCTTTTTACTTCCCACTTTCAGTTGTTTTTTCCCCCTCGCAAGTCTGATAATAAGATGGATGATCATTTCTTTTTGGCAATGGTGTACGGTATGCCAGGTGGCTGACATTAAAAGGATAAATGGCCTGGTGACAGATCTTCAAATGTTTGCACTCAAGTCACTGTACATACCATTGCCAGGGAGGCACCCGCCATCTCCCATTATGTCAAATGGAATTGATGCTGCCGGGTATTTATTCATTCAATTAACATTAATTATTCTGTTGTGCCATTGTCATGTTCTTATGAAATGCATAATATTTATTTCAGTTTCTTTGAAAATCAGAAATGTTATATGAACTTCATTATGCTGATGTTTTGCTAACACATATAGTCAATTTCCATGTCTTACAGTTGTTTAATTTATCTGATGTCCATCTAGCTTATTAATGTGTCATGCTATCTTAATAGACCCATCTCTGTTTTCTCCATCGTGAACCCAAACCTAAAAGGCCATTACCCGGTACTGCTCCTGCTTACGTCGCGGAGTGGTGGAAAGGGAAGGCTTGAGAGTTGAGACAAATGTAACATTTGACATTATTTGTGCACAAAGCATTTGCTTTCAAGCTTGAATTCGTGCAATCATGTATGTCAGCCCCAGCATTTACCATTGCTACAAGCACCTGTGCTCTCATGCATGTCAGCTGAGCTTCTTACCATTGCAGCAATCAATTACCATATTAGGAGCTCAAATATACTTGGGTTCAATTGTTACTATTTGTAGTTGTTGCAAATGATACTTCTCAGAATCTTGTGTTTCAGCGTCAATTATCAGAAATTAAAATCTGGTCCTCAAAACATACTGATTTACATCCTTCTGCTACAGAAGATATGGCAGAAAGTTAACATGTCTTTGACTAAGAGATTCCCAAGAAACCTGGATGGCATGGAAGTTCATGCTACCTAACTCTTGGGAGCATCATGTCAGAAGTTCCATTCTCTCTTTTATTTCATAACTCCAGAAGCAGCCAACTCAAGCCATTGTTATATGCTTTCCTGAGCTTTAAGCAGAATGTTCAACAGTCATTTTAAGATTGATATATGTTATTGAAAATCAAAGGAAGAGTTTTAATTAAGTGTTGAATCAGAAGATGTGAAGGGATGAAAAAAGTGATTCTGACTATCAGCATTGTGGTTGTAACGAAATTGGCTGAGATGAGATATCTTTTACAACTAATAGTATTTCTCTTTATGTTGAAAAATAGAAAAAAGAAAATAGAAATCCGTAGTGCTTCATCTTATGTTGAAACAGTACTCTGGAGGAAGAGAAGGCCAAAAAGGACAGGGTTGGGGTTCAAAGAAATGCTTAAATGGTTATTTGATTGTGAAGAAAGTCCTACATAGAGAAATTTTCAATGAGGTTTTTTTTATCTGACTTTCAATAGTTGGATAAATTTGTATCCGACTACGTTAGTATTATGATCCTTTTAAGACTAGGGATCAAGTTGTTTTTGTCTTTCAATTTAGTGAACTTCTGCAATGCTCTTAGCAAATGAATGCATAATTAATGAGGGAATTACGTTTGACTATGGTATAGGAATGAATTTCTCTAACCAGCTTGAATTTTCTGATTGATACCTGAGCTCTTTCACAGTTATGGCCCCAGTTTTTGAAAGGGAGCCGGAACTTGTTTGTGAGGATCGACATGGTGGTAGCAGTGGTATTGAGCTGGGATCACCCCGGATGTCTGATGTTAACAGTGAAGGTATTACTGTGTGTGTGGGCCGGGATGTGAAGATCAAGATTGATGATGTTTTAGCCGCTGTGCTCTTGAATGATTTGCGGGCTCATCTTGCTTTGAAAGGTTTTCAGTATGAGCAGAATGATCATTTGGCTGATGAGGTGTTTAGGACCCCATTATCTAGCTGTTCCCTTTCCCTGTCGACTGTTGAGAATGAGGAGGATGGGTCGTGCTCTTCTCTACAAGGGGATTTGGGAATGGTTTTGTGGAATGGTCGTGATTCTGATGTGGAATTGCTTACCCCTTTGGCTGTTGTTAGACCGGAAGGGGATTTTGTGGAAAGGGCTGGTTTTGGTGCAGGTGTGACTAATTTGGAGGACGATTGGGTGAGAGAAAAGGGTGTTGAGGTGGGCTCCCTTTTGGGGGTTTCTTTCGAGGGTCGGATGGAGGAGGCGACCAGTTTATTCCTTGATGTTCTTAATGCTCAGTTTGCTTATAGAATGGGAAGTAGGGGGAGCTCTCCAGTGGAGAGAGAGGAGAGGGGGATTCCGATCCCCTCGCCGGTTGTCATTTATGAAAGGAGGAATAGGGGGTCTAGGGTGAGGGCTAGTGGAAGGAGGAGGGAAAATGTCAACTCTATTGTTTCCCTGTGAAGCTACAAATTCTTTCTTGGAATGTCCGGGGTCTTAACGATCCGGCTAGAAGAAAATGGTTAAATCGGTGATTCGGAAAGCGGGTGGTCATGTTGTGTGTCTGCAAGAAACCAAGATTGCCTCGATGATGGATGCGATTGTTCGAAGCTTGTGGGGAGGGAGATTTGTAGAGTGGTTTGCTTTGGATGCGATTGGATCTTCGGGAGGTATCCTAATTATGTGGGATAACCGGTGGGTCTCTTTGTTGGATTCTCAGGTTGGACTTTTCTCGGCTTACTGTGTTCTTTCTATGGTGGAGGATGGTTTTCGTTGGTTTTTTTTTGGTGTTTATGGCCCTTCAGAAGATTGTCTGTTATTTACTCTAGGAGGAATTGGGGGAGGTTCGTAGGAGATGGTCGTTGCCTTGGTGTATCGGTGGGGATTTCGTTCCCCTTTCGAGAGATCGACAGGAGGCAGGTGGACAGTTGACATGGTGTCCTTCTCGGAGTTTATTGACGCTTTTTGTTTGTTTGATTTGCCTTTGGTGGGTGGTCCTTACACTTGGTCAAGTGGTCGCTCTCCTCCCACTCTCTCTTGACTTGACAGATTCCTTTTGTCGAGTGATTGGGAAGAGAAGTTTTCTGATGTTGTTCAGACCACTTTGGCTCGCCCTTTGTCTGACCATGTTCCGTTGATGTTGGATTGTGGTGGGTTGCGTAGCAAAAAGTCCCCTTTCAGATTTGAGAATATGTGGCTTCGGGCTAAGGGTTTTCTGGAGCAAGTCCGATTCTAGTGGGTGGGGTATGGGGTGTTTGGCTCCCCTGGTCATTCTTTGGCAGGCAAGTTACGTCTTTTGAAGACTGATCTTAAAATTTGGAACAAAGAGGTTTTTGGAAATTTGGCTTGGAGGAAGAATCGTGTTCTCTCTGAGATTGCTGACATTGACAGGATGGAGGGTCAGGGTCTTTTGCCGGTTCCCTTGAAGCTTAGGAGGGTGGAGTGTCAGGCAGAGTTTGCTGAGATCGCCACCATGGAGGAGATTTCGTGGAGACAATAGTCTAGAGCTTTGTGGCTCAAGGAAGGTGACAATAATACTAAATTTTTTCACCGTCTTGCCAATGCTCACAGAAGGGGCAATCACATTGGGAGGATTCGGGTGGATGGGGTCCTGGGGAGATGTTTTGCAAGGAGGAGGAGATTTGTAAGGGTTTTACTGATTACTTTTCGAAGTTGTTCACTGTACCAGCTGGTTGGCGTCCTTTGCTTGTTGGGCTTCACTTTGATTCTATTTCGAGTGAGGAGTCTTCTGCTTTGGAGGAGCCATTCTCGGAAGAGGAAGTTTTGTCCGCTTTGAAGAGCTGTAATGGGGATAAAGCCCTTTGTCCCGATGGTTTTACTATGAGATTTCTTCTGGAGTGCTGGGAGGTGGTCCGTGAGGAGGTGATGGGCTCTTTTCACGCTTTCTATGTTCAGGGTTCTTTTGAGAAGAGCTTGAATGCCACTTTTCTTGCTCTTATTCCGAAGAAGGGTGAAGCGATGGATGATAGGGATTTTTGCCCTATCAGTTTGGTGGGCTGTTTTTATAAGTTGATTGCGAAAGTCTTGGCCTCTAGGTTGAGGAAGGTTATGAACGGCGTCATTTCTTATGCTCAGAATGCCTTTGTGGGAGGTCGTCAGATCCTGGATTCAGTTCTTATTGCTAGTGAATGTGTGGACTCCCGTTTGAGTTGTGGGGTTCCGGGTGTTTATGTAAGCTGGATATTGAGAAGGCGTATGATCATGTTAGTTGGAGCTTCCTTCTCTACTTATTGGAGAGGATGGGATTTGGCGAGCGTTGGAGGAGATGGATTCTTTTCTGTATCTCTAGCGCTCGTTTCTTTGTCATTGTGAATGGAGCTCCAACGGGTTTTTTTTCTTCTTCGAGGGGATTGAGACAAGGGGATCCGCTTTCTTCATTCTTGTTCCTTTTTGTGATGGAGGCCCTTAGCAGATTGTTAAAGAAGGCTGTGGAGTTGGGTTTTTTAAGAGGCTTTCGGGTGGGCAGGGATGTTGCTAACCAATTGGAGATTTCCCACTTGATGTTTGCGGATGATACTTTAGTGCTTTGTGATGCTGATGTGTCCCAGTTGAGATATTTAAGATGCGTCTTGATTTGGTTCCAAGTTGTCTCTGGTCTTAAGGTGAATGTTGGAAAGAGCGTCCTTGTGCCTGTTGGGGATGTCCCTGAGATCGAGACGTTTGCTTGGATGTCGCACTGGCTCTTTTCCCATTTCTTATTTAGGGTTGCCTTTGGGAGCCCCTTCGAGATGTGTGGGGAGTTGGGATCTGGTTGTGGATAGATTCGAAAAGAGGCTGGTGGGTTGGAAAAAACAGTACCTTTCAAAGGGGGATTGGGTTACTTTGATTAAGAGCACCCTTTCTAGTCTCCCCACTTATTTTATCTCTCTTATTCAGATTTCTTCTTCAGTGGCTGAGAGAATTGAGAGATTGCAGTGCAACTTTCTTTGGGGGGGGGGGGGGGGGGAGTTCAAGTATCATCTTGTTCGGTGGGAGCATGTGTGCCGTCCGATTCGTTGTGGAGGTTTAGGGTTAAGGAGGTTGTTGCCTTTCAATAAGGCCCTCCTTGGGAAATGGTTATGGAGGTTTGGGATTGAGAGGCATTGGCTTTGGAGGAGAGTTATCGCAAGCAAGTTTGGAGAAAGTAGTGGTGGGTGGTGCTCTGCTGAGATGCATGGTCCTAGGGGGGTAGGGGTTTGGACTTTCATTCGGAGGGGTGGGATGATTTTTGCAAGCATGTTCGCTTTCGGATCAAGGATGGTAGAAGGATCAGATTTTGGGAGGATCTCTGGTGTGGGGAGCTTCCTCTTGCTCTCGCTTTCCCACGGCTCTATAGGATCGCTTCTCACAGACAGGCCGTGGTGGTTAACTGTTATCACCTTGATAACGGGAGACTGACTTGGGATGTTCAGTTTAGGAGGCACTTTCACTAGTGGGAGATTGAGGATGTTACTCGTTTTTTGGAAGTTCTGTATCGCCAGGTGATCACAGTTGGGGATTCGGATTGTTGGCTTTGGGATCCCAACTCTCAGGGTCGTTTCGAGGTTAGGTCCTTTTTTAGATGCCTTGCGGTTGATTTTGGTGGCGCTTTCCCTTGGAAGTCTATTTGGCGATCTAAGGCCCCTCTTAAGGTTGCCTTTTTCGCTTGGACTTCCGTCCTGGGCAAGATTTTAACACAGGATAATTTGAGAAGGAGGAATCAGGTGGTAGTCAATCATTGTTATTTGTGCTTGTGTGACGAGGAGACAGTTGACCACCTTTTTTTGCACTACAGCATGGCTAGAGACTGTTGGGATTTGATGCTTGGATTATTTGGGGTCCATTGGGTTATGCCCTGTTCTTCTAAAGGATTGATTGAGGCTTGGAGAGGTGTCTCTGTTGGGGTTCTCATTCAGGATGCTTGGAGGGCTATGCCTCTTTGTATTTGGTGGTGCATCTGGCTCGAGCGAAATAGGAGATATTTTGATAGAAAGAAGAAATCTATTTCTTCGCTTAAGTTCTCAATCATTTCCACTCTTTTTTGTTGGGTTTCAGGGAGAGATTGTAGATCTATTGAAGAGATTATTGTATTTTTGGCCTCTTTGAAGGTTTAAGGTGCCTTGTGGCACTTTTGTTTCTTTGGGTTCCGCTCCCCTTTTGAGCCTTTTTTTTAAATTCTTACTTATCAAAAAAAAAAAAAAAAAAAAATCTATACTTTGCATTTGAATCCTTGTGATAATTTTATGTTTCATTCATTTGATGTTTTATAATGTTCAATTATTTACAGTTATGATAAATTAATGAAGCCATTGAACTGTATGTAGTGTAATGTTGATGACTAATGTGATTCACGTCAGGTATGAATGTAACTAAAGTTAATTTAACTAATTCAAGCTCTTGCATATACATAATATTTTTATGAAAACCCAAATCTTCATGTATTCTTTTTCCCCCTTCTTGTATGGTGCTGGGCTTCCTGGATGAATTGTATTCAATGCCCTTACCAGCTGTTGTAGTAGGGTGCTTTTAAAATTAAAAGGACAACTGTAATCATTTTTATTTGAAGCTCATGAGGATTCAAAGAGCCAAACGTATGTTAAATTTTTTTTGGTAATTCCTGTAGGTTGGTGAATCACAACCCTTACTTTAAATAGCAGACAAGATAGTTGGGACATCTCTATAGAAGTTGATATGTATTCAATTGTGAGCAATTATGCAATTTCCAGTTTGATGAAAATGTTGGATGTCAATAATCACATTGATAATTCATTTGAGAATAATGTAGGTACATATTTGACACATAGAACAGAAGTTAATTGTGGACAAAATATTTTTATTGATAATTCATTTGAGAATAATGTAGGTACATATTTGACACATAGAATTGGGGACAAAATATAATTTTTACCCTAGAAGTTAAAGCAAACACACACCCCATTACCCACAACACGTCCCTAATGGCTCGAACTCTCAGTTTCCCCTTTGGAGAGGACTACAGGAGAGATCATACCGTCCAGGCTAGAGATCTGGTGGTAATTGGGGACAAAATATTGTAGTTTCATTATCTGATGGGGTTAAGAATACATAACTCTTTTGTTGTGTGAATTCATACTCATTTTTAAAACGAAAACCCCAAATTTAGAAATCACATGGCGCAAGTTGCATTAGAAACACAAAATAGAACATGAAGAAAATATCACAATCATGTTTTATTATCAGAGTTAAGATGTACTATTAGAGTCTCAATTCAAAGAATCCTATTCCATTATTTCTGTTATAAATCAAATGCTTTTTTGCCTTGGGAGTTGAATCCATAGTTGAATTTGGCTGACTGGTGTTGGTATAATGCAATTGAAAGTGTTCTTTAACTGTGGTGTGAGAAGATGGTAAAAAAGTGGTGATGGCTGCATTAACAAATGTGTGATAGTGGTTTTAGTTAAAAGTCAGGAGGTAGAATGGTGGTAGTGGTTTTGGGGTGAAGTTTCGCATTGTCATTCTAATGTTGGGTTGGACTGGTGGTTGTCTGCTGATGGAAGTGTTGGTGGTGATTAGGTGGGTGAAAAATAGTGAGGGGCGAGGTAAAGGTGACTCAGCCCACTTGAAGGATTTTTATTGTATACTTGCATGGTAGAAAAAGTCGTGTTTTTTCTTTTGGTTTCTCTTCTAAAAGTTCAGGTCTAGCGTTTTACTAGTTATATTTCATATTAGCAGTTTCTTCCTTTAAGTGAATATGCACGGAATTAACATTTTCTTATTATTATGAATTATTTTGCAGGCCGAGCAGCACGGAACAAACCTCACCCAGCCAGAGGCACATCAATTTTATTGAATCATTTCAGACACTCAAATTAAATTCATCTTCTCAGCGAAAGGTTTCTCAAGCCATGAGCAATTTACAGAGGCATTATGGTCTATCAACAGATAAAGAAACTGCATCAGAAGAGCTTGAAATGGCCGTCCTTCGGAAAGGAAGTGCTCATTATTTAGAGGATGGACCATTTGCTGAACGTTCTCCTCTTTTTAACTCCCCTCTAAATTCTCATGGAAAATTTAAAAGCTCAGTTAATCGTTTCTTGTCAGAGAACGGTAAAATGGCCAATGACGGGTCAGTAGCAGAAGCTACAGATGGTAACTCTGATAACTGGAATGATAAGTCGTTCAGAAGGTGTCAGAAATCTGATGCCGACTTTACTTCCCGTACCCCAGAAATGCTACTGAAGGATGATAACAGCAGTGGTGGTAGTTTTTTGGCTATTAATGGAAAGGGTTTAGCCCTGAGGCCCAAGACAGCCAACCGAACCGCTTTAGGGTCAGATGCGGAAGGAGGTTCGTCAAACCCCATTCCTGCAGCTGTGGGGAATTTTCTTGTAAATGATCACTTAAATGGAGTAAGGAAGTCCTCAAGTACATCAAGTTTGCAGGATAAAGACACTAGTACGGCTTCCATCTGGCCAACATCAAAATGGAGTTTGAAGACAGATTTTCAGGTCCTTTCTGCTGCAGCCATGAAAAGGCCAATCTTTGATGGCTTCCCGAGTGCAATAACGGGTCGAAGGAACAAAGCTGCACTTGATTAGTAAAGTATCTTCAACTGATCCAATTTTTACTCAATTCATTTTGTTTCATACTTCATCAGGCCAACTATCATTAAGGGGAGAGAGAGGAGGAGAACGAAAACTCGAGAAGTAAAACACTTCATAGATCTTTTTTTTGATATAGTCATTTTCCCGCCAGAAAAATGTTCTACACTATTCTTTGTGGATATTGTACTACGAGCCAGAAGTGGAGGACTGGGAGAAGTGGAGCAATGTGTGCTTCGAGTGCATCCCACAAAACCTTTGCTTCTGATAGGTTTTGTTCAGAGCTCTTTTTGTCATTTCCAAACCTCATAGAGAATGTATATTTCATATTTATATCTCTTTTGTTTGGAAATGCCGGAAAGGATGTTGTAATATATGTATATGTATATGTTTTACTTTTATTTTTATTTTTATTCAGCTTTGTTTCTTATCTGTTTCCAATTTTACAGTCATTTTATTGCAGTAACACCTCCATGTTCGAGAAAATGGAGGTGGGAAATGCAACATGTATAGTAGTCACAAAATGAGTGGTGGAAATTAATATGTTTTATTCATGCCCTTTACTTTGAGCTATAATAATAACATAGTGAGTGGCTTAAACATTTGTTTTATTGGGTTTGGGTTCCGATCGAGTATGGAATTCTTCCACATAATGACTAAAGGGCCTTCCTTTAATCGAGACCCAAAGAAAGGATTTACTGGAGATCGGCCCAGTTAAAAGAATTCCGAGGGGAAAGTTCTAGAAGGATTGAACCTCTATAAATAGTAAGATGAAGGTTGAATTGTGTAAGTGTATTGAAATATCTTTCCAATTATAGAGAGGAATTTTATGTGACTTCATCTATAAAGATTTCTAAATTCAGAAATTAGTGAAAAAAATAATTCATTGCTGATATGAAATTTTCAATTAACGGTAGGAGGAGATGGGTTAGATCGTGGCAGAAAATTCAGACACACCCCGGGAGAGAACAACGTAGAAGATGGCAAGGAATAAATAAATAATGGACAATATTGAAATTTAGAATTTATTGCTTAAAAAAATGATACGCTTGCAAGAAGTAAAGCAAGTGCAAGTTTTGTTAAAGGGGCTTCTAAACCACTAGGCTTACTAAAAGTTCTGTTTCCTTTTAAGTTTCATTTCTTGCTCATTTGGTTAGTTTTGCAATTTTTTATTATTATTTTGTAATGGCACAATTAGTTCGTTACTTCTGTATTGGTGTATTGGATTTGAATTATATGTCATGACAACAAGTGTATACCGGATTCGATCAGGGTTTTTTGTTTGAGACGTATACTTGTTGAATGTCAAGGTAGATGATCACTTATAGTTTAAGTCATATGAAGCAGGAGCAGGAACAGACAAAATTTAAGTCACATAATATGAGAGTCAGAGCACATCCGGAACCTAAGAGTGCGAATGGATACAATGCAAGGTTTTTTTATTTATTTTTGAATAAAAACATAAAAGTTTTTAAAACTTCTTATTTTTAAAGAGGTGTGACCCTGAGTTGTGTCTATTGGCTAAAGGTGTTAAAATATCCTATAAATATATGGTATTCTAACAGATTAGATACACGTTTTTTACTTCCCTCATCCACATTTCTTTTTGTTTTAAACCTCCCTTCATTCGACCAAAATATTATATATATTTGAGTGTGTGGGTGTGTGTATATATATATATATATATATATATATATCTGAGTTTATTGACACTATGACAATGGACTTGGTAATCGTCACTTTGTGAACGTGCGTATGGAGGACATTGAAGTTGTATCTTGGAGTCTTTCATAATCGTCACAACCTGTACGTAGGGAGGTTGTATAGACTTTAAGACAGATGCGTACCCCTCCATTAAACAACCAGAAGTTTCTTACCCTCTTCTACTTTTAATGCGTGTTCATTGTTATTTTACTGGCCTATTACTTTAGTCTATTATTTTATTATATATATATATATATATATATATATATATATATATATATATATATAACATTGTGATGTGAATATAGAGAATTGTTTTGGTTAAAGTGCATTTTGATATGATTACGTGGACAAACTTAAAAATAAGAATTTAAAATTACCAAAAATCCCTAACAATCTAAAGCCTTCGTAGTTTCAGAAGTTTATGTCCAAGGTTTTTTTTTTTTTTTTTTTTTTTTTTTTTTTTTTAATGATAAAGCAAATTATTCAGAGAGAGAAGGAATGTACAAAGGATGGCTTATGAAAAAAAGCCTAAAATACACAAAATCCAGCCCAACAGTAAATCCTATTCTCCTAATCCAGTCACAAAGGATTTTTTTTTTTTTTTTTTTTAAATGATAAAGCAAATTATTCAGAGAGAGAAGGAATGTACAAAGGATGGCTTATGAAAAAAAGCCTGAAATACACAAAATCCAGCCCAACAGTAAATCCTATTCTCCTAATCCAGTCACAAAGGATCGTTACTCTAAGACAATGTTCAGGGCATTGATCATCTGCGAAGGAGGAGGAGATACGTCGCTTCTAATAAATGTAGAGGGTGTTGGGATTTATATGCCCTGTCATAGCAAATTCTTATTTGGATTATAGTAACATAGGTTCCTGACGTTTCTGAAATATTTATGCTTTATACAATTGGTGAATTAATTGTATTATCTTTCGATTCATTATAGAATTGATAGTGTCCACTTGATTATAAGAGATATTTATATATGTATATAATGGCGATCAATACATGAATATAAATAGTAATCATAAATTGTTCATAGTCGGTAATTATGGATGGACTCATAATTAATTAAGACTTGAACTGGATCCGCGTTAGGTTGAGATATATTGCGAGAGTCATCGTATGCAATTGCTCCCTATCACTGTTATGACATTTGACTCTTAAGTATGAGAAAAATATAGACTCTTTTATTAATTAATAATTACTTTGATTTGTTCGGCGGATACTTCAGGATCCTTAGACCGACACTTTGGGTAGTTATGTAATTAATAGTTAGAGGGTTATATTTTCAATATTTGTATCATTGTTACTTGTATTTATTTTGTATTGATTATGGTTGATCACAAAGTAAATTCGAAGACCTTCGTGTGTTTTTAGACAAAATGATTTATTTATTTAAATTATTATTTTTGTTAAACAAATATTTTATTGTGATCGAGCCAGAAATAATCAAAGGTACCAAAATAAATATATTAATTAAGTAGTCGGATTGATGGCTTTATTTATCTGATAATTAATTATGCACAGAGGAGTCAAAGTGCAACATTAACTTAGAGGTTCTTTATTATTTAATTGGAGTTCAATTAATTTCTTTTAGTGGAGTAGAAATTAATTTATGAATTAATTGAATTGGATCCATGGACCGGGCCAATTATTAATTCATTGTAGCCAATAAAATAATAAGTTCAAAGGATTCTCACTCATAGCCCAACTTGATATTGGAATCTTATTAGATTTGAGACATGTGAATTAGAGATTGAGAAGGATTTATTGTTTCATTTTCTTTATCTTTTTATTGCCTATATATATACATGGTCTATGTATATTTTAGGAATGATTTTTGGAAGAAGGAAAAAGGAATATATTTTATCTCTCTAGAAAATTAGGGTTAATGTTCTTATCTAATGGAAGCTCCCACAAGCCTAATTTTCCAAGGTCATTCATGGAGGCTTATGCGTGATTCCTAAAGGCAAAACAATTACCAAGACGATGGAGATCCAAGGAGAATGTATCTTGCTAAGAGATCTACAACAAGTGAGAATATTCACTTTAGAGGAAAGATTTAAAGGTTTACTCAGACTTTTAATGTAAGTATTCAATCCATTAATTTAATGGTATATCATATTTTATTTTTGCATAAAACTTGTCTCTATGTGATGAATCAAGATCTATGAATGAAAATCCCTCGAAAAGTTTTAAGAACTTGCACGTTTCCCAACAGTGGTATCAGAGCATGGTTTAATTCATTACTAGATATCATGATTTTATGAAAATCATCATTCATGGATCCAAAATTATATTTATATATATTTTTATTGATATATGTTGATATATATTGATAAATGATGATATATGTATAATTGTGAATGAATGATGATGTATGTTTGGGCCATGGATGAAGCTTATAGGTTGATTGAATATAATTTTATCTTTGGATGAATGTAATTAAGGCTTTGATTTAGCCGTTTAAAAGTTCAATAATATAATTTAATTTTTTTCATTGTATTTCAAATTGTAAATTTATTTAAAGCTATGTAATCTATATCAAAGGTTGCTATGAAGCTTCAAGAAGGTCCAAGAGAGTTAAATTAGGCTTTAGGAATTTTCTGGGATTTTTTAGAAATTTTTCGGAATTTTTAGGGCCTAAATTTAATTTTCTGAGAATTTTTATTATTTTTTCTAGAATTATCGGCGATTTTCCGGTGACCGGATTGTCGCCGGCGGCGAGAACAACGCCGGAAAGAGGACTGACGCTCCAGTGGTTCACGGTGCACCAAAATTGGGTGCAACCGCATGAGGCAGCCATTGGATTAAAAATCAGGGTGAGAAAGGATCCAGTGCATCGCTGCAGCTTTGAGCTCCATGCAACACGAAGCAATCAGGCGCGTGAGGACCACACCCCTGTACAAGTCAGCGCCAAATGGCGTGTGGTGGAGCGTCCCACGCGCTGCCACCATGCACAAGGTTCTGCAAGCGCGTGAGGTGCGTGGAGAGCGCGTGAGCCGTGCGTGATGGTGCGTGAGACTGCGTATGACCGAATTTTGTTTTCTTCAGGCGCACAGATCCTTACAGATGACCTCTAGGCTTATTTTAATGATTATTTTGTGCTGCTATCGCTCATTAGGGAGTGAATTATTGCTCCAAAATGGATTTTAATATTATTCTCCATTATTTAGAGATAGTGGGAGTTTAATAGGGTGCAATAATTATAGAACTTAATAATTATTTAGTTTTTAATGTTGAAAGCTAAATCCATTGGCCATTTTATCTGCTTTATCGTTTATTTATTTATTTATGTGATATATGTAATGCATGTAATAGATACTTATTTATTAATTATTATTCATGCATTGGATCCATGAAATTTAAGTAAATGACTTGATTTATATTAATTAAATTATGAAAATTAATTGGATTTGATTACTAATTAATTTGAGGGCACTTATTGGGAAACGAAAAATCATTTTTGTAAATTATTTTTAAAGTATGCCTCAAATTAAATATTAGTGAATCATTTAAAGTCCAAATATTTTCTAAATTTAATTGGATTAAAATCAAGACGTTTTGCATGCATTATATTATGTAAATGAATAAAATGAAAACCCTAATTATGAATGACTAAAAATTGAGTGGGAGCGGGGATTTTTATACATTGCCCCATGGCCTTCGTTATTAAAACTATTGTAATTAGATTTTCAAAAATAAGGCCCTACGCAT